CCCCCCCCCCTTCGCTTGCGCACATATAAACGTAAATATGCGTCGCATGCGCCAGCGCGCGAAAATGACGATTGCGCTACACATGTTACATATTGAAGCGAACGTCGCAGTGAGAGCAATTATTTTAGGGCCATCAATCACTGATAACACTAAACTGATGGGCGGTAAAAGCTTTTAATGCGTCGCCTATGGCCAATTTTGGGTAATGTAGTTTTCTTGAGGTTTCGCGCATGCGCAATTTTAAGGCTTGACATGTTTGGTGTCTCTTTACCCGACGTGACCCCGTCTTTTATATTTTACCAAAAAATTTGGTAATAGATGTTTTAGAATTTAATATAGGGGGAACTGTCTTTTGTTTTTTAAAAAAATCTGTAGTTTTTCCTTAATATATTAAAAAATAAAAGTGGTGATTAAATACCACCAAAATAAAGCTCTATGTGTCCGCAAAAAAGGGTATAAAATTCACTTCAGTACAGCGCTGCATGACGGAATAAATGTCAGTCAAAGTACCGCAGCGCTGAATACTGAAAAATGGCCTGGATTGGAAGGGGGGTTTAACACCCCGGATGTCAACTGGTTAAATGATAAAACATTTATTATTACCCAATGTTTTGGTAAACTATAAGAGACGGGGTCACGTCGGGTAAAAAGGCACCAAACATGTCAAGCCTTAAAAAAGCGTGTGCCCGCGAAACTTCAAAGAACTACAATGCCCAAAATTGGCCATAGGCGACGCTTTAAAAGCTTTTACCGCTGGTCAGTTTTGTGTCATCAGTGACTGATGGCCCTAAAATTATTGCTCTCACTGCGACGTTCGCGGCGATATGTAACGCGTGTAGCGCAATTGTCATTTTCACGCGCTGGTGCACTGGACGCGTATTTACGTTTATATGTGCGTAAACGTGGGGAACTTAAGAATTTTTGGGGGGTTTTTTATATGTGACTTATTTTTGTTAAACTTTTTTTTATTTATATATTTTTTTTTTTTACACTTATTGTTGTATATATAGAGCCATAGGCGACGCTTTAAAAGCTTTTACCGCTGGTCAGTTTTGTGTCATCAGTGACTGATGGCCCTAAAATTATTGCTCTCACTGCGACGTTCGCGGCGATATGTAACGCGTGTAGCGCAATTGTCATTTTCACGCGCTGGTGCACTGGACGCGTATTTACGTTTATATGTGCGTAAACGTGGGGAACTTAAGAATTTTTGGGGGGTTTTTTATATGTGACTTATTTTTGTTAAACTTTTTTTTATTTATATATTTTTTTTTTTACACTTATTGTTATATACATAGGGGAATAACAATCCTAGTGGGCGCGCGCAAGCAGAAAAAAATGCCTTCTGGAGACGGCAACCAGTCAATACGACTATGCCGTCCGTCCGTTTTTTTTGCAACGGGCGGACGGCGACTGGTTAAAACAGGACCGGTCATCCTTTCAGTAAAGGAAAGTCTAATTTCTCTCTAACTCTTTAACTTCTTACCAAATGTTTTTGATAGTTTTTGCATTTTTAGAATGCTTTGGATATTCCTTCACTTTTTCTTTTTGATTTCCCACCCTGCTATATTTTAATATAAACATTAATTTATGTGATGCATCCTCAGCAAAATTGTTTGTAATAAAAAATGATCACAAATGCTGCTGTATTGGTATGCCATTACTTGCTCAAGCTACGTATTCAACTCTCAGTATGAATAATCAGAGGGATCCGTATTTCGAAAGCTATCAACCTTGTTCTCCAAAATAAGTGATCATGTGGATTTTTTTAAGGGGGAAAAGGATGATAAAGTGAACCCTGTGATTAGGGAGTAACTGATTGCTGACATTGCAAAGCAGAAAAAGCAACGGTTTCCTAAAGTAATGTGCATTTTGAGGGTAAAGAATTTGAAAAAAATGTCAAGGGCCTTCCTAAAAATTATAAGAGAATAAGGCAGTGGTTTCCAAGTTTAAAGTCATTTGAATGCATCCTAAAGAAAGGAGTCTAATTTTGAGTGCTAGGAGTTTGCAAAGGTGTCACATCTTCGAGTTGCTTTGAAATTTTTTTGAATGTGATAACTTTCTTTGAAGACTTGTGTTTTTAAAGGACCATGTTGAAATAATAATCTGTTTATCGAAAGCAATGGGCATTTAAGCAACAGTCTATCTCTGCTTATATTGGCTAATTTTCCATTGTTTGTTTATTTTCTTGGTAAAAATAATTTCTGTGGATTATGATTTTTTATTTTATTTATTCTTTATTGCCTGTCATTTTCATACTAGCATGACTACAGCTAAGCATGCTTATATATTTTGATTTCTTTCTCAGCAACATGTGCAGGACGGTCGTAAGGAAAATCTGGATGGATTTGTGAAGACATTTGAGAAGTTGAATGACTCGGAGAGTCCTGGCATATATGCATTGGATTGTGAAATGGTGAGAAACGCTTTGATACACTCAGGAGACTAACTTTTATACAGTAGGGTAAGGCTGCTTTGGTGTGTGTGTATATATTGTTCTGTAGTTGGTGTATTTCCACTTTCACTGGCTAAATGACAAAACCCCCACTATAGGTTTGTGTTTCTAGCATATCAAAAACTTTTAACAATATTTATTACGTTTTTAGATGTTTATATTTAGAAGGCCTTTGCATGCTCCTCTCTCAATTCCAGTAACAGGCAAGACAGTAAGACTGTCCTAATAGAAAGGCTGAGGACAGACTGAGAACCTCTTTATTAACATACAATTAAAAAATTAAAAAACCTTGTAAACTTTCAACCTTTGTTAGGACAGACGGTGTACAAATCTAGTTTACAACTGATGAGATCTTCCAGCACAGTACAGACAGGCTTAATTGTTGTAACATTACTCTACCCCACCCCCTTTGCATTCCAGAGGAACATTCAGTACAGAGAAAAAAATTATTTGAGCATGGAGCATGTTTATGCAAGTAGCAGTTGATTTGTTTTTAAGTTATGTTATGTGAACGAGAAACATTTTACAAAAACAAAATAGGTGTTGTCCCAATTTGGCTGCAAAAGTGGAAATACGCTTTAAGAGTAAGGATCAAAGGTATTGGGCTAAATGTTATGTGGGTAGGGAGGTAAGGGTAAAAATGAGGCTTATTGTCCTCTGGCCATGAGAGGTAGGCACTTAAGTGCCTGAGTTTTGTGGTGAACATTGAGTGCAGTAACCTTTTTGAAATCTCTAATGAAGGGGGCAGATATAGGTGGGGTAAGTGGGAAATGGAGTAATAAAAATAGAGCTTACATTAGGACCAATTCAGATCTGTAGCACACAAAGGACGGTGCAATGCGTTGCGGTTAGGGATGTCCCGATACTGATACTACCACAAGTATTTGTCCAAGAGAGAAGTGGAGAAAAGCACCGTTTGCTTGGGGGTAACAGGGATAAGGGAAGTATTTCTACATATTCCTCTATTCTCAGACAAATGAAGCATTTAAGTCTTGCAGAGTGGAGAGGAGCCCACTACAAGGGTTAATTTTTGTTTTCCTTGGAGTTCTGCTTTGAGACTAAAAAAACTTCCCCTGTAAATGTGCACCAGTGTTGCCGATATTATGTTTCTTTTTTTTTTTTTATCATTTAATTTTCATAATTATTCCATTTACCTTTTTTCTACAGTGTTACACCACTAAAGGATTGGAGTTAACACGTGTTACTGTTATAAACTCTCAAATGAAGGTGGTGTATGACACCTTTGTACAACCAGACAACAAAATAGTGGACTATAACACCAGGTAAAATGGCTTATTCATTTTCATTCCTTAAGAATTCCATTTTGATAGATTGGAGAGAGTGAGTGCGAGCAAAGGTTTGCTGTCAAGCAGTAGGAAAAGTAGAGGGCCTGAGTACACTCATAGGAAAATTAATGCAGCTGAGAATAAAGACACTTGCAACCCTTGCCACAGCTCACCTTCCTCAGGGCTGTAGCAGCACCACTGCTGAACACAGTATGTAAAATACCAACCTGCCACAAACAAGACCCACCTCTTGAATGACATACAGAACCACCCCGTGGTGCCCTGATAGTAGAAAGCATAAGAAATATGTCAGCCATGTTATTGGGTTATTTTGGAAGCGCACCTCACTAAAATGTTGGCCTATCAAATAAGTTTTTCATTGTTTTCCCCACAAGATGTCCTACGAGCGCCTCTGCTCTCTGCTGTTTGTATGTGTGTGTTTATTGAAGGGAACACATCTACTCTGCAGCACAATACACAGTAACGCACTGCCTCCACATTACCAAAAAGAGTGTAGGTCTGATTGTCGTGATGCGTTGCCACCTCATTTAAATGAATAAGCTGGCTTAGCACAACACACTGGACAAAATGCATGTAAACGGAAAAGGACAGGCGGATATATACGTATATTCACAGTGTACTTGTGAAAAGCATTTACCCCCCTGGAGGCATGGCTAGGCATGAAAAGAAGATGGCTGACTAAGAGAGAGGCACAACCACAGAGGGGGGCTTTTGTCAGCTTTGACTTGCATCCATGGTTGGACACACTCTGCTCTCCAGGAAGACCTACACTCACTATTGGGACTCGGCTTAACTGACTTATTCACAATGGAGGCATCAGGCTCATCACAAGGCCCAAGCTATTCATCTGCCTCTGTCTGCCACCACATCATGCTTTCAAACTGATCAGACAAGTAGGGGGTGCAAGATAAAGAGAAAATTAGAGACTACGGGCAATGATATCAAAACAAATGTCTAAAAAGACTGACCTCCACACTATTGCAGCAGACATAAAAAAATGTATTAGTGCATATATCAGACTTTAAATCGTATTTTCCACTTTCGAGTCAAATTTGAAAAAAAATTCAATTTACACACAGCATACATAAAAAAATTATTTAAAAAAAAATATTTCTTAACTTTTAGATGTTTCTGTGGAGAAGAAACTCGGGAAGCTTTGGCTGTCCCCACAGAAAGGATAGGGACACACTGAGCTTCTTTTCATTAACATAAATGTTCTAGATGTTTAACCCTTTGTTAGGACAGAGTGTTCAAATCTAGTTTACAGCTGCCAGCACAGAACAGATAGGGTTAATTATGGTAAACATTAATCTCCCCAGCCCCATGCATTCTAAAGGAAAATTTAGTTTGGAAAATACCTCTCTCATAAAAGTGCAAGTAAAATGTAATCAGCAATGTTTTAGTTATACTATGTGAATGATTACATGTAACGAATATTATATAGATGTTATCCCAAGCTGGATACAAAAGTGGAAACACACTTAAAAGAGAACTATGGGGTAAGTGTTTTCCCCATAGTTCTCTTAAGGGTCACTGGAGGACATATACTAGCGTCCTCCTGTGACCCAAAGCTCAGTATATTGCGAGCTACAGCTTGCGGTATACTGAGACCGCCGGGACGGATCCTGACAATGCTGTCGAGATCCACCCAGGTGCGTGAATGACAGCTGGCTCTGCCTATCTCTGCCAGCTGTACCCGCCCCCTCCCCCGTCCGTTCCTCCAGTCAGTGCTGGAGGATCGGAGCGGGGAGGGGGAAATCCCTGTGGGGAGCCGTGACTGACAGTCACCGCTCTCTGCAGGGAGACGATTGAGAAGTGAGCGAGCGACGGTATGCGTTCGCTCACTTCCCGATCTATTTAGCCGACGTGTGACAGTTTCATTGTCACACGTCGGCTCAAACTATGAGGATGAGTGATTTTTCACTCACCTCATAGTTTTCCTTTAAGGAAGCTATCAGCTTGGTCATGGTCAGACTGTCGGTAGTGGAGGAAACGGGAAACTGGCATGAAATTACCGTGCAGGAAGCACAACAGGTCAAGGATCTCAACAATTGAGCTACTGCCAGAATCTCTGTATTCGAGGTATTCTGGAGTCTGTGTGGCCTGACTAGATACAGAAAAATGCCCTTTAGGCAATGTTTAATAACCTGCCGGAGAGACCACAAGAGTCGCCTATCAACCCCGCAGAAGAGAGACTTACCTGCCTAGGAATACCATCTGCTGCTTTATCAACTTTCATCTGAAGGAGAAAATGCACAAAGCCAAGGATCAAGAGGTACTTGCTGTCAACTAATGTGTTGTGAGGATCTTCTAAGACCTTTCCAGCATTATTCCCTGTAATAGATGAGCTTGGCCTCCTGCACCCCCCCCCCCCCCACCCCTCTCCTGCATGCTCTTAGAGAACATTCTTGTTTAGCCTTTCCACTACTCGCCAAGGCCATACAATCTGGAAAATCTGGTACACTTTTGCAACACTATCTGGATCCCAGTCATTCCTGGACTGGCATAGGGAGTTTTTGTCTACCAGATGCCTGAAGTAAACTTATAGTGCCTGCTGCGAGAAGACACAATGGGGACAAAAGCTTCAGATGCTTTGCTTATTCCCATCGGAGACCCGCTGATCACAGAGCTGTTGGTGATCAAGAAGAAGAATCCACTTGAATCAGCCCTCTCTGTGCTCCCGGGCTTAACAGTCTTGATTCCTGCTACCCAAATACTCAAATAAGTACTTTTACGCCTACACACACTCTAGGCCCCCTTTCCACCTACCTTATGAGACGGGGATCTTCCCCACTCCTTACCTACGAAAAGTTGGAATTCACCTACAGTATCTTCTACCACCCACACCTAATGTCTTTACTTGTAGAGCTCACATAACTGCATGCAAGCACCCAAATAGAAGAACGCTTAAGTGAATCTGCACTGTTAAATAGTGGCATATCTCTAGTGGGCTTAGACACGCTGTCTACCTTGCAAGCTATTCTGATATACTGCTACCTCAGCCTTTTACCACTACATCGATGTACAAAACACCTGCCAACCCCCTGAAGCTCATCACCCTTTCCCCTACAAGGGGTGCAGGGGTAATCAGTGGCCACCCTATACCCTAGACCAGGGGTCAGCAACCTTAAACACTCAGAGCCATTTGGACCCGTTTCCCACAGAAAAGAAAACACCGGGAGCCACAAAACCCTTTTGACACCCCTTATGGCAGTCTTCTATCAAAGTTCGTGACTACATTACAATGTGTGACCGGTGACGTGGTTACACATTTCAATGTAATCACGCCCAGTTTTTTGGCGGTGGAATGTGTGACTACCGATAGCTCAAGCATTTCAACACGTTGTCAGCTGTTCCAGGGCACTTCTATCCGACTCTGTGAGTGAGATCTCACATTCCACTCCACTCACAAAGTCGGATAGAAGTTACATTTCAGGCCCGAACAGCTGTTCCAGGGCAGATCAGTTCTGCACATACAATCTGCGATGCCGATCTCCCCTGGACAGGGAGCCGCAGCAGGGGCATGAAAGAGCCACATCCGGCTCCGGACCCGCAGGTTGCTGACCCCTGCCCTAGACCCATAGCATCATTAAACACATGCACAAACCGCATCTCTTGGGCTTGCTGGTCTAAGAGGTCTGACACTAGCAGACCTACTGGAATATAAGTTAGGTTTTTCAAATCCCCTGGCAACTGGAACTTTAGGATAGGATATGTGCTCGACAATTTAATGCATCGTTTTAGATCCTTGGACCTGGTGGTCGGACCAGGATGCAGCCATAGCCATGCTAGCTGGTGATGGTTCTGTTCCAGGAACATACTTTGATCACCAGATTTTATAATCCAGAACAATGCTTGGGTGCATTTTTTGTTTCTTTTTGAGAATTTTAAAAGGATTGCTGGGTTGTTTTGGTTGTTGCCAGCTAGGGATGGCTGCCTTCCTATTCATCCATTACATTTTATATATCCCTGAATCTCTGTTTTCTAATTATATCACAAGTTATCCCTTTCACCATTAAACAGAATTTTCCGTTTAGGGTCATTTTTTGTTCTAGACCCATAGACCTCCCATTTGCAGTCTCTCCTGGCACCTTCCCAGGATTAAGATTTTTCCTATCCACCCAAAAGTGTAATTGTGCCCTCTGCTGTTTTTCTATTCTCCCTTTCTCTTTCCTTTTTTCCCCTACCCCCTTGGTCTTTTTTCATTCTAAAGCAACCTTTCCCCTTTCCATCCTCTCACAGATTCTAACCTACCCTTTCAGGATCCAGAGCATTCCATACCACACCAACCTGTCCTACTCCCCTGGGGGGTCAGTCATTGAGTTACCTCCTACCACCATACTACCTAATCCACCCGCACTATCTGGGCTGAGCATTACTGAGCAGAGCACACCCGCTCTTCAAATGCACCCCACCATAGTTGCAGCCCCTACCTATGTTCCCATATAGGTTTTACGTTTAATGCTCCAACCTTGACCTTCTATCTGCCAATACCAAGGGCCTATCTGCCCGAGCTAACGCCCAATCTCCTTATTAAATGCCGATACGAAACTGTTCTCAAAAACTTTGGCGATACGTATGCTTCCTTACATTGGGAGGCTAATACATCCGGATCAAGCGGGTTTTGTCCCTTCCCGAGAAGCTAGAGACAACACTACTAGAGCAATGAATCTTATCCACTCTGCCATGTCGATGGCTACCCCTGCATTTATTTTATCCACGGACGCGGAGAAGGCCTTCGACAGGGTGGATTGGTCATTCATGAGAGCCACCCCGGAACATATGGGACTCGGTCCACACATGATGTCGTGGATCATGTCCCTCTATTCCCGACCATCAGCTAAAGTGCAGATAAATGGCTGCTTATCAGAAAAGTTCTCTATCTCAAACGGAACGCGACAAGGGTGCCCACTGTCCCCTCTGATCTTTATCATTACCCTGGAGCCCTTACTGAGGAGAATTAGGTCCAACCCGGA